CCTCTAACCATTGACGAATCTGGTATGAGGGACTCTGAAGGTGCAAAAGCACCACCCAGCATAGCTCAATGGATCGCTGAGGCACAAAATCCACGGTAAGGTCCAGCCTCATTGCGACGGTGAAATGGCATGTAGGGAAAATTTTTCAGTCAACATTTCCAAAACCAATCCTACTATACAGCTACAGACTACTAACGCAAACAAAAACGAAAAATGTAATTAGGAATTTTATAGTGTCTTTAAGCCGGCTTCGATATTCTTTGTGCTGACCTTTGATAAACATGGCCGAATTGATCATCTGGGTTCGAACGTACGCACCTTCATCTAGCGTACATCGCGCATGTTCTGCTTAAATGGCATTATGTATCTATCAAGCTGTCACGTTTGAACTCATTCAAAATGGCGCCTTTCAGCCGAAACTGAACTTTTTTACCTTCTCTTCATACAGCTCCTTGTTAAATCTTCACTTAAATTAAAAAATCATATTATGTGCTACAGCCACTGCACATGTCCTATAAGTGCGTCGAATATAATACTCCGCGCAGAATTTGGAATACTGCTAGAAATTAAAATGATTTTAGCTCATGACTCTTCCTGCCAAAATTTGTCAAATTTTGACAGATACAAGAAATATGGCATCGCTTGTGGAATTGAACTGTTTTTCGGTTGTGTCAAAACAAGCGAACTGTCTCCATTGTCTGAAGTTAAGTTCACACTGTTCTTATTCTTGAGTAACGTACTTGTAGATCCAGAGAATTTACACCAAGCGGTGCAGGTAGATACTTCGAAATTTAGCTCATCACAGATACCTCCTTGAAAATTGTTTACAATACAGAAGGCTTTACTACCGCGGCAACTTGTTTGGTGTCCACGTCGTACTCGCAACAGAAAATATTGAGCAATAGGGTAAAGCGGAGGGAAAGTTTATAGTAGGGCAAAACACTGCCTCATTTATTTCGTCTTTTCAAATCGTACTGCAACCTGGAATATTGTGCTTTGCTACTAATAACCTACCGCAGTTCGTTCATCCAGCATGAACTTTAGTTGGATTGTCCAGAACCATTCCAAGGCGGAAACTAGCTTTCATATCTAGAATCAAGTATTCATGCAAAATTCAATGGAATGTGATGTACCAAGCCGCTAACTAACACAGCTTGACTTTTTTCCTACTTTTGTTCTTTTTCGATGATACGTCCACTCAACCATCGGACTAAGCAAAGTTGGACGTGATCCTGTTGCATCAAACACATGATGGTCAGTTATATCCTTAGCACTAATGACAGATGTAAGTCAGACTTAACTAACATACTGACGTAATAGCATTCTGCTGTTGCTTTTTAAGAAGCGCAAACAGCTTCATGGTCATGGAAATTTACTCTGAAACCAAGTGTTGTATCGTTTTCGGAATATTATAAATTGCATCTCGATTGTCTCGCATCTTAACAAAATTCAAGAAATCAGTTGGTATAGCTGGTTTTCCACTTCATTGTGTAAAAGCAGTGATCATATACAAAATTAGCGAAAGCTGACATCCAATAATCCAAGTGGATGTATTTTTGCTATGCTTCTCAAAATACTCATCGTAATCGCCTAGATCTTCATAATGATTTTAACAGTTAGCCGAAGTTGAGAAAGAGACCTTAGCTGATATGAGGTAATAGAAAAACCGTTAGAGCTTATGCAATACAGACTAGTAAAGCTGAACATTTTAACATACAACTAAATAGCACCTCTGGGATATCTTTCGGAAGGTAAGACTAAAGGGGTGGAGAGGGACATAGTGACTCGCAAGACAAATGCTTTGAGATCAACTCTTCTCCATATCAGCTAGCGTAACTAACCAAACGTGTTCAATGTCCATCTGTCCCCAGTCTGGCCGTTGTGAAAATTACGTAAATACTCCTTTAAGACCTGGACCCGTTCATCATCATATTTTATCATACAAACTAAGCATTTAGTTTCAGTGCATAATAATATTTATTAATCTGGCTACGGAACATTTTATCAACCAATTTGTTCACTAAAAGGAAAGCAGCAGCTACACATATAAAACCTATGTTAGCCTTGAAACAACTTATCTGCGTTCATATTTGCAATAAATAAATGTAAACAATAAAGGTAGAACACAGTTGACATGATTGCTTTCTTTTACTGGCCATAACATTAAAATCTTCCAATAGACGGCTGTCCGCATATTGAACAGACAGTTTTGGCTTAGGTCAGGTTGGGTTATTCTTTTCCTATTCCAGTCGTAGCAGTAAATCTCAAACATTTTGAAGAATGCCCTGTGGGCTGGCTAACTTGGTATGTTCCTGGATCAGTGGAGTCGGAGTGTGCTCTGTGAATTGAGACTGCTCTCTTTGAGTACTCAGCTTCGAATATCCGCATTGGTTCGGAAGTATTGTATTCGGAAGGGCAATTAATAATTTTTCATACTGGTAGTCATGCCAAACCTCTGAGTGAAGCGGCAAGCACCCATAACATTGTGAGGTGGGCTGTAAAGATGAAACTCTCATAGTCGCGGATGATATCAAACTGCGCTACGTGTTTCTCAGTTGATGCATGTAAGATGGGCTTTGACAATTTGTCTAAAATATTTCAACATAGTCAACGGCCAAAATGAAACTCTAGGAAAATATATCTACTGACTTGCTTCGGCTGTTGAACGGCCTTGGCTAACGAAGGCCATGACAATGGGAATCCAGATTTTACGCAATGGATTTGAATATTGTAAATTGCACTCTATTTGTAGTGTTTTTTACAGATCAGTAGTGCGAAATGTCTTGGGTGATTGGTGAATCATCTTCAAACAAATCTATGTGCTAAGCCTAAAGTACTTACAATGCTAGGTTGTTGAGTAGGTGCAACTATAGAACATTAATGAACTACGGGTAAATAATCAATGCTTAGCTAGTACCGTAGACAACGATGATGGTCATGACATTACTAGGCACGGTTAAATACTCGGTGGAGGACATTATCTGTTAATACTTAGTCTTGACAAAATGTTGCAAAGTTAGAATGCACGGTGGGTTGCGATTGAATATAGGCCAATCATACGTGTACCTGCAAAATGCCATTAGCTTTCTACCAACCTACCGGTACGTCAATACTTTCAAAGTGTTGATTAGTCTACCGAATTAAAGGAGGCTAGAATACTATAAACTAGCTACGGATTTTACTATTCCGTTAGTATGGATATTAAAAATTTGCCGCATCGAAGATATATGTTCAATGCAGCAAATGTCTGAGCGGACACCATTCTGATGCTTTCAAAACACATCCTTGAGTTGATAGTAGTCTATGAATTAGGAGGAGCATTAAAGAATTTAGGGCGGCAATGATGTATTTATCCTAATTTTTCAAATTCACTTTAGGCGCCGAATTTGTACATCGAAACGCTGATGATATCCCCATTCCAGCTTTGGACAAACCAATTTTATGAATAACTAGACTCCCATCATTTAATGAAAAGTCCGAAAGAATGCTATCAGAACCTGCAATGTTGTGGTGCTCCAAGCGGCAAATCGCCCGGCCAGAAGCACATTCCTGAGTTTCAAGTAACGAACTAAAGTTTGTTTGAGAAGCACGGAAAGAAGACGAAGGCTGGTAGATGCATGCATTTCGTATTGTCTCCTCAGTACCATTAACAATAACCGATAAGCATAGATATAGCTAACAGTGGGTGCATTTTCGTACGTCGCTATCCTCGTCCAATGCTTTTACTGTTGCTTAGAAACAAACTCAAGCCCTCTGCGGCTAAGCTCAGAAGTGTGGCTCCTGCTCACCTAGAGACGGATCAAACTAGACTTGCGGAACTACTAGAAACCCATGCACGCTTACTACCCATGGTCGAGGATCTGTCACTGTGTTGCCGGATTGTTTTCACAAACTTTTGTAAATCAACTCTTGATCGTACGAGACGAAATCGCTCCGCTCGTTTAGAAAATTCGCTGACGAACAACCAGGAGGAGGAACCAATTGCTCGTGATCCAAGTAAGTACGTGATGAATTTATCGAACGTAAAACTTGTTGTGTTGCAATTAGAAGCATTATCACTTGGGCTTAATTACAAAGTCCCCCCTAAGACGTTGAACGGCTTGTTTATAGAAGCCCAATTTGAGAACTTTTTTGACCATTTTAAGGAGCTCCAACCAACCAGCCCTGATAAGCATATTCGGTTCAGAAACAAGTTAACTGATATCGCCCATGTGGTGAAAAACATGCCAATTAATGAAAAATGTGCCATCACATCTCGACATTTTCAGGCTTTACTTGAACTACGAGCTAAGGATGTAGTCGTAATGAAACCAGGTAAAGGTTCAGGAGTGGTAATCATAAATAAAACCGAATACAATGCGAAGATGTGCGCCATACTCAACGATGCGAGTAAATTCGAACGGCTCACGAAAATGGGGGACATAACCAATATCGAAATGCGCATAATTCGTCACCTGGAATTACTTCTCCTCCACCGCGTAATAGACGTTGATACATTTAATAGTTTGAAACCGAGTGGTAGCACTATTCCACAGTTGTATGGGTCCCCAAAGACACATAAGAGTGAAGTGCCACTGAGGCCAATCCTTTCAATGATGAACGCGCCCCAGCACAAACTCGCTCGTTGGTTAGTGAAGTTACAAGCTCCGTTGAAGCAACAGTTCAATCCGTTCAGTCTTAAAGACTCGTTTCAACTCATTGCTGATCTGGATGAACTCAACCTGTCAGAAAAAGTTAGATGTTCCTTGGATGTAGAATCCTTATTTACCAACGTGCCGCTACATCAGACGGTTGATTACATGTGCGAATTACCTGAAAACGGTGGCTGCTTGCTACCAATTCCGACTGAATTATTAAGAGAATCTCTACTATTGTGTACGGAGAATGTGGATTTTCACTTCCGGAATACGCCATGCCGTCAGATTGACGGCGTAGCAATGGGTAGCCCATTAGGTCCTGTACTCGCTGATTTCTTCATGTTGATGGTAGAAAGAAGCATTTCTACAGAAACAGCCCAGGTGCCATACTACCAAAGATATGTCGATGATATCTTGGCTTTATGTTCGTCGGAGCAGCAGCTCACCCATTTGGTAGAACGGCTCAATGGTGCTCATGCTAACTTACGGGTTACATGTGAAATAGAACAAAACAATTGTCTACCATACCTGGACATACTCATGACTCGCAGGGAGGATGGATTGATTAAGAGGTCAATTTACCGAACATCGACTTGGTCCGGTCAGTAGCTGCAGTTCACCAGCTTCACACCAGTGCGGCACAAACGGACACTAGTGAAGACTCTAGTTAGTCGTGCCAGACGAATTTGTTCGGCCGACTGTCTGGACGATGAGCTAGTGTTAATTACAGCAACACTAATGGCGAACGGCTACTCTAGAAGATTTATAGAGAAATACTACCAACCACAAACGCCAAAGGACTTGGTGCACACGGCAGCCAAGAAAAAAGTGTATATCGAGTTACATTTCAAAGGTGAGTTAGCCACGCTGAAGACAACTAAGTGTATAATTCCGGCTACACAAGGAAGTTACTATGCTGCACAAGTTGTCGTTATCAACCGAACCCGAAATTTACCCATACCTCCAACGAAGGAAGCTCAGCATATTGGCTCCAACTCACACTGTGTATACCAATTTGTATTTGACTGCGGAAAAATTTACGTAGGCAGAACTAATAGAACGCTGACTTCCCGAATAAAGGAACATGTGCCAAGATGGGTTCAACGTGAAGTTGCTCAGATTGCCTACCCTCGTCAGATTCCATGTTCACGCCTACCACCGGCTTCCTCGATAGGCAAACACCTATTAGACTCGGGACACCAATTAGTGCTGGGCTCAGCGTTTAAAGTTGTGTTACGTCACCCTAATCCCCGCTTCCTTCGGTTTGCTGAGGCTGTCGCAATAAGCCGGATTAAGCCAGCCTTGTGTGTTCAGAAACAATTCTTTGTCAGTCTAAATCTGCCTTGGACGTAGGTGTGAACTTCCGTCATTCGTTTGCACCTTAAGCTTGTCTGGTTACACCCACTGTTAGCTATATCTATGCATACCGGTTATGTTAATGGTACTGAGGAGACAATACGAAATGCATGCATCTACCAGCTTTTGTCTTCTTTCCGTGCTTTTCAAATTGTTAAAGGGAACTAACTGCTTGAAAGTTGGTTTGTTCTAAAATATAACATACAAAATTGCCGTATATAAATGCATTATCAACTGGCAGGTTACGAGAGCTTCTGTGTAATGGTTATTCTCCTTTTTGAAATCAAGCATGGTAATTTTGTTGTTGGTATATCTTGCCTATAAATATAAAACTTGATGAAACTAGCTTCATATTGAATGTTACTTTGATCCCTTGTTGGGGTGAATGTGCTTAATCCATGCTCCACTTGAAGCCTACACTCATTTATTCTTACATATATGCAAAAACGTCTTTCCTCTTTACCTGGGTTTTCTGCGTTTTTTGCAGGACTTCATACTGGCCTGTCAATTCATCAATCATGCGCCTCTGCTCCAAATCACGTCGGCGAAGTCGTTCCAGGAAATCATCCCTGCGGGCTCTGGCCTTTGGAGTCGTGAGTAAATCGTTCCTTGTGAGACTTCTAAGATGTACCAACTGAATAGCTAATCGGCGACAGCTGGGGCTTGGTTCAATATCCCATTTTTCCCTATGGCGAATCATGGCAGAAATAGCCAAGGGGTTGTTTAGTAATTCCCGAAGAATCATTCGCGTCAACTCGAAAAGGCGTGCGGCAATCTAAATCCCAAAGGACACGTCATGAATTTTACGTATTGTTGAGTGAGCTCTTTCAGATAATTAAGCTGTAATGGGTTTCAATCAATGTAGATTTTTATAAAAAGTATTGGGTAGATTATTTCGCATGTGTAACGGGACTTTAGGCAATCTGCTTTGTTTATTCGATAACAACATTTCCATTTTCCTTCCCCTAACCGGTAGTCCTACCGCAATCGGTATGCATCTCTGTATTTCGCCATAGCAAACAGGTATCTAAGTACTTGTCAAGAATGTTTGTTATTGCAAAATTAATAGCCTAGCTTCAATGTCTAGTGTAGTTATACCATCAAAAACATCAAGCGCAGGTGGACAATGGTTCATTTATTCAGTGTGTATCAGTCATACACAGGAAACCTGTTGTCACACTGGAACTGGGTTGAAAACGCTCGCTTGGTCTACTATAGAAAGTGAATCAATTTTAAAGCCGTCACGCAGTTAATGTGGGACTAATAGCTGATTGCTAAATAGTGAACCAAATCACTGACTTATGAACAACGGTTTAATTGCTTGATATGCTGCGGAAGTGGTTGTATGGATTGCACAGGTGAGATCAACATGTGCCAGCAACAACGCGTTATTTTTAATCTGTTTGTCTGTTAATGAATGCCTTTTATTGACTGCGTTAAAACAAATCGACAAGTTCCTCTTATGAGTGGGGACGTATCTCAAGTATATGTGCAGCCTCATTTACCTAACTTCTGATGAGATCCAGCTCTAATGTGCTGGTTTGTTGCAACTACTATAGGCTGAACTGAAGTCGCCATGCTATTTGACGACCTTTGTCGCCACACTCCGTTATTCTGCAGTGCCTTCTTATTCCGCTGTTACCTAAAGTAAGATTTCTTTTATGAAAGAATATGAAACGTGGTGCGTAAACGTTTTTTTCCAGGGCAGGTTGGTTTCCGCTTTCAGCATATATTCATCGCCTCCTTGTGAGATGGCCACGATTTATATTTCATCAAAGGTTTTACGGAATTACGCATTTTCGTAAAGAGGCATAAGTATGAGGTATTTATATAATGTTGTATGGGAGCCACAGTAGCTGTCTGGCTGCGTATAACCTCGGCTGCTAGCTTCAAACACAAGATTACGTCACACTGTAACAAGTGTTCAAGCATATTCAAGCGGTAAATCTGAGTACGAATTGTTAGGGCGATCAAAAAACGCTTAAGAATGACGAAGATTTTGGGTAATGTAGATGCACGCAATTTGTGTGAATACTTATCGTTCTAAATTTAACAAAAATAGAGCGTTTGCTTATTCACTGAACTGCAACTGCTAATGCCGTTAATCAGTTTCAGGTCAGGGGAAAACCTATCGGTTATCATGACAACCAACAGCTGCCTATCCAGCAAAGGATGTTAATGTGCAATTGGAAGCCAAACCTTGACCTAATACATGTACGTAAAGATGTCAAGAGCGGTAATAAATTATTTCCATCAAAAGTGCACTCATGATAATTCCTAAAGTGAGAACGAAGTGTTTACAACCAGAACACAACTAAGAAAAACGCAATATTTTCAACCTACAGGTATTTTTAACTTCCAGCTGTATTTCACTGGATCTCGTGGCTTAAAATTTGGGTTGATCTTATGAATGTTTCCCTTACAAATCGTAATTCAGACAGTAGGAAATCATTATTCAGATAAATTCATCGAAGCATGTTAATATAGCAAGCAAGCTCATAAGCCTTGTGAGTAAATTCATTTGCCACATTGCGCAACTGACTGTAACATCATTCCGCTTGCGGTAACCTTCCACGTCTGCAGATTACAGGTATTTCTTGTGCGACTTTTGCATCTTGTACTGAGATGTCACACCATGGTAAACCAAATGTTTATCCATATAATTGGCACCTATGTTTTAAACCAAGTTGTAAGTTAGGATAGGACACAGCACTTTTAATCTGCTTACCTACATTCTATCCCACCTAAAACAAGTGTTAATTCTTAGTGTTGCAAATTCACTACTTTTCCAACCTTGAGGTTTTGTGAGCAGAATATATATCATAACCACACAACAATCACTTAGGCCAGTATATTGTTATCTGAGAATAGACTTTGCTATTAAGAATTTATTAACCTAGCGCAATATTTGCAAATTTAGGGCGCACCGTACTTCTGCTGCACTAGTACATCATGGATTAGAATGTACTGCCCGGTCTCATGGATCAGTTTTCCACCAAATTGGTAACTGCAGACATTCTTTTCAGAAGACCCTGTAAAAACGCGAACCAACCTAGAAGATTTGGCATCATGCATGCGGTCACATAGACAAACCGGTCTGTGAAGGATACAAACATCCTAATCGACTGAATACAGAGTCCGCCTTGGTTTATCCATTTGACAATTGATATCTGTCCTATAAGTGCTACACAGCTGGATATTTAGAAACGTTTCACTCCACGCGGTACAGCTGTTCACGACACAGGATAATGATCGAGTGGTTCTAATCCAATAATAACAAGATGGGCTGGACACTAATGACCACTAAATGAAAAAGGGAAGCAGGTGTTCGGGATAGAGGCGACCCGAGACGAATAGTGAAACCCCAGTTGCAAAGGGATCTAAAAACCCATCCACATGGTAAGATGGAGTGTAATAGGACGGCAACGAATTATGAAAAAGAAGGAAGTTTAGAGGCCATCCGAAACGTATTATAAAAAGGCGAATAAATAGAGGGTAAATTATTGATTACATGTTGTGTTATTGCATCGCGACGCGTAATCACAATGTAGAACACCATTCTCATTAAAGAGAACCGTGACTACTACGAGCATTAGGACCCTAGCCGAAGCAGATGGGCATTTGGTTTTGCCCGCCCGAAAACGTTGCACAACCACTACGCGATTCAATGTCATTGATTCTTATCAGGTGGTGGGATTGTTTAAAATTGCCGTACTACCACCCGTGGCCTAAGTACTATTTTTTGGCTGGGTGGCATTAGTTTATGCCACTGCTATCAATCAGTCGACTATAAAATAAAAATAATCAGAGGCCATCGAATGCATTCTGTTCTAGGGATCTGGTGTTAACTGACTCGGTATGCACAATAATAAAGTAATCCCTGACACTTGATATGGTATTGCTAGCGTAATAAGTTAATATGAAATTTACCGATAATAGTGCTCCTCGCAACCTTGTGTTGTGGCAAGTACATAGGTATATTTTTAAGTTATATAAATTCTACCGTAGTTTGTTCTACATATTCTTCTATTGTAAGTATAATTAACAAGCATTGGAGCTAAATGCATAATGCGACCTCAAGATTGCTTTCATTCTAATGACCGACAAAGTAAAGTTTAGTATTGACAGAAAAATCACATTCGATTTGTTACATCAGACTGCAGATACGGATAATTCGAGCAAAAACATTGGTTACAACAACAGTACTGAGAATACATTTGAGGTGACATATAAACATCATTGCCTTGTAAAATGAAAAAATATTATCGACACCTGGTTCTGCACAACACTAATTTTACATTCGAAAGCGACACCAAAAAGCGCTCACAATGTTTGACTATTAAAATTAACCTGGAATTTTGATTTCCCTTAAGAAAATCAGCAGTGTAAGCCAACATAGCTAATGATAAGCACAACAGCCAACAGTTTTACTCTGAAATGAAAAGTCTGATTAGTTGTGTCTCCGTTTCACGCAATCTGTTATCCCGGTTATTTAACACTTCTAGGTGCTATCATTCCTAGTAAGCTTAGACTAAATAGCATTTTTTCAATTGTAGTTAAAATGTTATTTCTTCTCGTTTCAGAGGTAACTTGCTGCATATAATTCAGTTTCAGAATTATTTGATCATTTTTCTGGTCGTTTAGAATAACTGTTTCTTGTACAGCAAGAATTTGATAAATATGGATGTACCAAAAATATACCCAGCTGAACTATTTTTGGAATTTATGAAGGAGCAGTCCATCAGTAAGAAAACGCAAAAAGGTATAGTGCAGTGGCACTGAAAAAACCGGAATGTCAGGTACACTAGAAAAATCTACTTATATGTTGCGTTCATTCGACCGAAGGAACGTAATAGACAACCGATGAAAACCTACATTTTGTGCGACAATATCGTAATTTGAGTACAATTCAATACTGATCTTATCTTTTAAAGTTGCTTGTGTCTATCGTAACATCGGAGTACAAAACCACAGAAAATGGCTAGCACTCTGCGGAAAATTGCCCAACGGATAAGCAACCACCTGAGAGTTGTTTCTATTTTGCTACCCCTAATTCTATCACTGGGAAATTTGATTAATCTCTTCTCTGTCCATTCGGTCTATGTCACCAGGTATATTAATTTTGGATGCAATTAATACAGACCAGTCAGGTCGTAGCAATACGCTTGTTTTATATTTCCCAGGCATAGCAAAGTGAGCATGTTGGCATAATTTAAGTGTTTTGGGACAGCATCATGTGTGCGCCTCATGAAATCAATATGGTCGGACGAAAATTTATCTTGATGAATCCGTTGCGTTTCTGTTTGGAAGCACTTCTTAGGCATAATTTTGTTTTAAATATCGCTTAAATACTTCCGTGGTACAATTCAAGTACACCCCACGTCCCAGTTCTATTAATTCCTTTATTTCACTTCATTTGCAACCTGTACTATAGATAACAAGGGAGACATACGCTGACTAATAAAGTTCTAATATTCGAGTTAATTTGATCTAAGCACACACTGAAGCTTCGAAAAATAATCCACTTTCATGGAGCCCATATATTAGAAAAGCTTTAACGAAATTGCCTTTTAACTCACGTTTGGTTTGACTTTCCCAGTTGTTTGTGGAAAATCTGAGTTTACACTGAATCCTTCATCGAAGGACACAAGGCTTTGGCGGTGTTGCTCCGTTGCTTCCCGGTCTGTGTAACGAGGTGGTTGCTTAAGCATTGAACACTGTTCATCATACGTTCTGCTGAGTGGGCCGTATTTCTCAAAAAGAACAGTGGCGTTGCGGCCGATCAGTAGCGAATATTCCTAAAATAGCAAAGGAGATCATTTGGTCAGCCTTGTTTGCATATAAAATGAACAGGTTGGCAGTCAACTAGGCAACACTGTACAGGCGAATGTAAAATAGCAGCAGGCACTTCGAGATCGTATCGTTTTTAGTTAGCAAGTAGAACGGCATCGTTGCAGTATGTACGCTGACATGAGCAAGGTGTTCACGAAGGAATGGAGCGGATAATGCTGCAGAAATGCCAAAGTCTACGAGACAGAATAATAATAATGTGTCAGCTATACGCCGCGCAACCATCACCAGTCGCCAGCGGGCTGGGTATACTGAGTCTACGCCCAGCCATACGCGGATCCGAACCGACGACCTAATGATTGCAAACCAAGTGTGCAAACCAGTCGGCCACCAGCCGGAACATCCGGACTGCACTGTGTAACATGCGGACTGCAATGTTTAGCTACTGTAAAATTTAAAAAGTATGCAAACAAGTAAAGGGTAGGAAATTAACTTCAAACTTATGGAACACATGCCAAAACTTGCAAACCTAGCTGCTGGTCTACAGAGACTTAACCAACTAACAGTTGATATGTATGTTCCACTGTAAACTGCCAAGGTATTAATCTTCGTGGCAATAGAAGTTAGGTCGTGCACTATCCAAGTTAGCTTGCAAATTGTGTGTTCTAGCCGACATCCTCCATGGCTCAGTGGCTTAAGCTGCCAGTTGACATTTGCCTCTAGACGTCATGAGTTCGCTCCACGGTAGGGGACCGAGGGAATACGCACCAGTGACGAGCCCCAGTTGGGCGAAATGTGTCTGGTGCTTTTTCCAGACTTGGCTGTGCTACGTAACTTGTGAGCAGCCGGGACGAAAAGATTACAATTACAATTAAAATAATTCTCCTGCTCAGTAGTATTAGGCAATAAGCTGGGCATTCTGACTGAGCACACCAACCTTAGTAGGGTCAACCGTCACTAGAATTCCATTCGCTATAATGAAGCAAATCTCGCTTTCGATAGGTTTCCTTTAGAACTGAAATCATTTGGTCCATATTTTGCCAGAGTTTGGGGGCGAGAATAAGTGAACAAATCAAGGATTAGAAGAGTACCGCATTGACTCCTTAACTTAAACCGGCTTTACCGACTGTGTCGATGAGATTCCTGGGCATTATTATTCAACGATATGACATCCCGCCTAGGAGCGCTTACCTTTCATTCAGGCGACTCTGTTCTTAAACGACGTCATGGTTGCTTACGTCTCAAGGGTACTAGGATCAGTAAAGTATACAGACTGCAACACAATGCTGATGACCGTAGTGCCTAAAACCATGCAGACGTCATTGGAACGTTAGCAGTCAGAGTGAATTCGGAGCTCCTATTCAAGGTTGCAAAGGACACATTTGTGCAATAAAAGTGTCAGTTCAGCAGGCGAACAAACTGGAGACCTCATTTGTACCGCACACTCTTACCGAGCATAAAACGGAAGGGAGTTTCAAATATCATACTATAGTCACACCTCATAAGCTGTGTAAAATATATTACCAGTGATGTTAAGTACGACATCACTGGAAGCAACTGCACTCTAATCACCATTAGCACAACCAGAAAACCAATATATGCTGATCATAAGACAATTACTTAACGCAACCACATGTATTTTGATTCACTGCCAAAAGTTTAAAATTTTCCGTTGCGTATACCAATGCCCAAGGCCTTCTCAGCAAGATGTACGGGCTTCGGCTGCGTTGGGCAACAAACGCTCGGGATTTCTTTATAATCCGGGTTTGACTGCGCCTCAGGAGATGATGTTTTAGAGAATGTTATCCTTTTAAAACGACAACATTTACAGTGCTGGCGGTGTATTACCTTTCCATTGTAAACATTCTCAATGGTAACCAGTTCCGAAGCAGGAGATGCGGGCAATGCGTCGGTATGGTGCCGTTTGCGTCTAAAACACGACGATAACGTTATCGTGCAGTCGTTTACCGGTCACAACTTTGACTTCAGGGATAGAATCCGCCAGGTATCGGCCCAGATTAGTATCTCAGCTTCAAGTTGGGTTCCCTTCCTATCGCTTTAGATTTCAAGGAACGTGACCTGCTCAGCGCCGAGCTGCAAGGATTTACTGCAAATATCCCGCTGTGAAATGACATCACCATACAAGGTAAAGAGTCGATTACAACTATTGAGCCATCGAACTTTTACTTACATATGGGGAACTCGCCATGGACAAGCCCTTGAGAGACACGCTGCAAGGACCAAGGGGTTATGTGAGCAGTTTCTTCCTCTATGTAGGTTACTCTGAATTCTCGGAAGAAAACACTTAACCAACGCGTTCTACGGCACTTTAAAAACATTGACAAATCCAGTTGGAAAGAAACATGAGGTCTTCTTGGAATACTGCTCAAATGTGAGTGTCTAGACACAACCTTTTGTTTCAGAAATCTGGTAGAGAACTTTTCAAAAAGCTGGTGGGTTTTTCTGTCAAGCCATCGTGGTTTATCAGAGGAGAATTCGAAAATGCATGTCAGGGCGCAATGGCGCTTGGGCGTTTAATAGAACTCGACCTGATCTTAAAGCTTAGAGGGACTACCTGGTCCAGAGCAACCAATGCAACACGCATGTGCGTGAGGAAAAGGTGACTTATAAACAGTACCTGACATGAAGATTTTCCGGAAAAAACTATTATGCAAACACGTTAAAATTATTATAAATGTGATACACAATACTTCAAACGTAGCACTACGGTCGAAGTGGCATAGAGAGTTGAGGAATCAACCACTGCCATTCGTATGCACTGAACTACTAACGAGACGTCATTCAGCATCATATATTCATACCAATCGCCTCAATTTTAGAACACATTTCTCCTTTATCCATGTAACTATGTTTAGGAAACTACTTTCCCTGCACAGCTATCGTTCTCCCGAGATCGCAGCATTTACCCGAGGGTGCTGAACATAGAAGCATCAATGTTAGTAGAGTCCTTGTCGCAATTTTTATAGACATGCTTAGATGAATGTTTGGTGCCTTAATCTGTGACATATTTGGTATAAGCAATCTAATTTTTATAGGCGAAATCCTCTCAGGACGCAAACACTCACCCGTAATGCTCCTCTGATGTGCCGTCAAAGTAAATTGAATAAACCATCGCTCTTGCTCTTTGAGAACATATCGTATGTTGCGACGTCCCGTTGCTACCTGTCCCTCAGGGCTCAGTGATAACGTCAACCCCCTGAAATCCGAACTCTCTGAACTAATAACAATAGTGATTTTGGTAGAACCACTCAAATATCATCTGGCTAAATTAGACTATATCGATAACCCATTGGTAAGCCTTAATCCTGTGAAATGGGATAGGCAGGACAGTTAAACGCCGCAGTTGCGCATTAGGTACATGAACGGATGTATAGACTAATAAGTGTGATCGTTTTCAACATTCCTCTTAGACTTAGTGTGGATAATGTTTAAATTGCAGTAATTAGGGTCTGCAACATGTCCAACATCGAACTCAAATGCCTTCATCCGAGAAAAAAAACAATGAGGCACTGCTGCCGGATCGTTTAGAAAGGATCTACTGAGCAGTACGGGAAAACTTTTGTATACTCAGTTCATTATAGCCCATTGGATCGAGTCCAACGACATACTGATTAAACCAGATGCCATGGCTTTATAAAGAGGCCTTAATGATCTTTAGTTACCAGCACCAGCTCAAACGGCTATTTGGGTGGTGTTCTCAAGAATGCACTCTATCTATGTTCTCTGAAATTCATTCAGACCCTTAGTAAACCCCCCAAGGAGAAGCTAGCAGCACAAAGAGTGGAGAAGGAGGAAGTTTATTTGTTCTTGTCGTTCAAGGGGGATCATGTGGCAAATGATGTTGGTCACAAGCTCAGGTCCTCTCTAATCCGAAATTTCTCTACGGCCCAACTACGACTTATCCACACTACACGAAGAATTCCTCTCCATAGCCGTCCGAATAGATCTCTAATAAGTTCGGCCTTGAACATCATCTACCAGTTCACTTGCAGTTGCGGTAAAATTTACATCGGCAAAACTGGTCACCGGCTGGCTCAAAGGGTGGCGGAGCAGTTCCCATGGTAGCTAAGGCATTGGCTGTTTCACCAAGGCGGAGCGGACACAAGATTGAATCAAAACCATTCCTCATCTATCACCAAACATCGCATTAGCCAGATTATTAGATAAACTTTTAACAATCTGTGATGAAATTCATCCATTCGTTGAAGCTGATCCATATGCCTCAGGATGGTTTCTGGAAAAAACGCACTTGCAAAGCCTGTCAATTGCATCAGCTAAGTCATATTTCGGACTCTGCTTACTCAGGACACGCAAGCATACTTCTGTTCCTGGACATGGAAATGGCATAAGATCGAGAGCCCCACAAACGGTTGCTGAAAAATTTTGCTTCTTGGGAATCCAAGGCTTATTCCTAGCATGGCTATTTTCATACCTGAGTGGCCATTCTCAGCTAGTTACCACTGATGATTACCACTCGTCACCATGCCCAATCACTAATGGCGTTATGCAAGGGAGTGCTCTTGTTCCGTTACTGCTCCTGCTCTACGTCAGTGGCATCAGTACGGTTATCAGATTTGGCAAGCCTTTTCTATTTATTGGTGACACAATTATAGTCTACAAATTCCGACGGGCTGAACTTCAGCATACACTAGTGCTCATGCAGAAAGACCTCCAGTCCATTGAGAAATGATGTGGCAATTGAATGGTGAATTTCTCGGCGAAAAACGCCAGAAGCATGTATCGCGGTTACTCGATACACGAGGAAACAATTGCGAGCAATGACGAATACCTTTGTGTACAGCTGATTACCCGCGATCTCTGAATAAGGTATTTTTGCATTTCAACATTTACAAACAAGTTGTATACCAGCTGTCCAGGGCCAGAAATCAGCGGCTGATCTAACGTGTACGATTCACATAATCCTGGCCACAGTATAAATCTGCAAAATCCTCACTCGCCGCAGTTTGGAATATTGCAGTATTCATTT